CACTACGCAGACACTTTCCTGTTTTTAAAGAATTCAGTTTTCGTTTTCTTTCAGCTACAACACCGTAAAACATCATGGCCTTCCCTCTGCCTCTGCTCACATCTGGCAAGGTATAAGGAGACCTTTGCATGCATATTTCTTACCAAAAAAGCTTCGTTAAATTCAAAGAGGCAAGGAAATTGCTTCAGAAGCTGATGAACAGCATCCAGCCACTGGAGAAAAACTGGGCACTGCTCGTTCTGATCTTCCACCTTCTCCTGGTGACCGCAGCGATCACCAAACTTGTGACCAAAATCCAGCCAGTCTGATTCAACAAGCACCTGGAAGCCCTGTGAACAAAAGAAAAAAGCTACCTGCAGACACTTTGCTGTAGGCACGCGCAGGACACGGCCAGCCCATGTGCCAGCAGCTCCAGGCACAGGCAGGACTTCTGAGGGGCTAGAGAGGAGCCTGCACCAGTGCTTGGGTTGGGAGCAAAGCTACCTGGATGTCAGAGGTTTCCAAACACAAGCTAACAGTCGTTATTTCTAGACAATAAACAGCTTGGAGGATACACATGATTAAGAGTAGGGAAGCAGCTGAACCTTGAACACAAGAGGTTATTTACCACAGTACTTCACCAAGCTGGGTAGAGGAGCGAGGTACAGTTCACTGAAAACAGGCAGGAAAAGAATACGGGAAAACCCAACGCCCACACTAGTAGTTCTGAAACACCACTAAGCTTATTGCCAAATGAGATCCTGTTCCTGCCTCCGAGACAAAAGGCACGTTTTAATGGACATGAACTGGCAGTATAGCACAACTCATACCTCCATGGTCCTGTAGTAAGGGTCCAGAAGAATCTTTGCCAGCGCTACAATCTGCGGAGTCCTGTCCCAGCCGTCTGAGCAATGAACCAGCACTGGACGTCCTTCTCTGTCAACTGCACTGGAGACCAGCACTGCTGCCTTCAGCATGACAGAAAGGTGCTGCAGCCACTTGGTATTCTCCAGGGCTGAAAGCCAGCTGGGAGATGTAAAAAAAACCCAAGAAAATGGTTGCTTAGATCTCCAGTGGAAGGAAAAAAAAAAGTATTTTAAACTAAGCCTTTTTAGCATCCTCAATGTCTTTTCTAAAACATGTTCAAGAGGAGCCAGCCAGCCTGGGAATAAGCACAAAGAATCCAACCCCCAATTTCAATTTTTCCCAGATACAGCTACATTTCAGAATTCCTCAGAGGACGCACACAACCAGGTGACACTGAGGCAGTGCTGCAATCCCTTCTGGATTACCAGGGATAAAAATAAGCAGCATTCAAGCACTGTGAACACTTCCCTATCCCTCCATTTTCTGAGGAAGAAACCTGGGATAGGAAAAAGGAAAAAGGGAGGGAAAACCCCCCAGGACATTGACAGATACGGTGTCAGACTCAGCTAGAGAATAGTCACTTACTTGCTGGGGTCTGGCACCTGACTGCAGACAGCACGCAGATACTGGAAACTGTTCCGGATGGAGTGGATGTTGGCCATGCCCATGAACACGACTTCACAGTTTGGGTAATACTCTGAACACAGAGATAGAAACATTCAGAGGGCTGCTGCCACTGTGGCAACTGCCTCCGTACGTTCAGTTTAGGTGTCCCCTCACTGCACCATTTCTGGTCTCCAGGTAGGCAGTTTTTCTACAAAAGCCTTGTGGGCCAGCAGCAATATATCTGGAATAACGCACTTTGCATGAGTGAGGAGACTGTGCTCCCAGAGACCGAGTACCAAAATGCTGACCCAACCCACTGCTGCGCTCTGGGACCCACCCAACAAAGCAGGTCCAAGATGCAGATGCTCTGGGAGCACTTAGCCCTCAGTACCTTCACATTCACAGCCGCCCCCCTTCGCTCTGTTGGCCACAGCCGCGGTGTAGGACCTGGCATCAAGAATCAGCAGCTTCTGAGGAGTTCCCGCGTTCTCCACGCCTGAACACGCCGTCAGGGATGAGTCTGCAGAGACAACAGGGACTAAGTTCCCGGAACCTCCCTCCTTTCTGTGACAGGCCCCCAGTGCCACCCAACACTGGCTGCGAACGAGGCCAGGGACCCATTCCGCACACCGTAGTCAAGGTGTGACAGGGCCCGGATGATCCATCTGGATATTGGGTTTAAACCTTGCACTTTAACAGCCCTGTCAGCAGCAACAGCAACATTTTGGTGTTGTTCACACGCTTAGTAAAGAGAGTGGGAGGCAGCAAGCTGTCTTACCGAAGTCGGCATCGCAGGCCTCGCTGCCATCGCTGCTCCCGTTGTGCTGCATCCCACCAGATACCTTCACCCCAGGGTTCAAGGCACAGGCTTTGGCAATAGATGTCACAAGATACTCGTCGTCAGCGTTTCGCCAGCCCCACCAACTGATTTCAGGCTGGCTGCAGCGTGCAATCACCGCCCCGTTGCGCACATGTCTGCAAAGGAAGCGAGAGCCTAATGAAGTCCCCCGAAAAGGTGAGGAACAACCCCAGCAAACTTCACCTACAGTCAGCACCAGAGAAACCCTCCCCACCGCTTTAGCTACTGCATTAACTCTTGCATTCAAGCAGTGAAACAGGGCAGGGCATTTGAAATAACCATTATTCACATCAAAAGCAGCGATGCAGGGGCTGTCACTCGCAGCACAGCGGTGAGGAACAGGAGACAGCTGCAAGTAGCACAGGAGCAGCCAACGGAGCT